TATTACATTTACTTACCTGATTTTGAGTAATTGAGATTTCAAAAGTGTCCACAATTTATTGGTAGGCCACTGTATATCGTGAGCTCATGTTCAAATATAATACATCTAAATTTCAGGTATTAGCGATAAAATATTAATGACAGTAGCCATATCGTACCCAAATTTGAATATCTTAATTTACGGGATAATCAAGTAATGACTGATAAAGGACTATATGAAATTGTAGAATTATGTACTAAATTAGAACATTTAAATATTTTTTTGTAGAAGTATCATCAATAAATCTATAACAAAAATTGCTAATAGGAAAGAATTTACTTTAATGAAAGCATGTTAGATTACTGATAAATAAATAAATCAGATCATAAACCTATGCCCTAATTTGTGATTTCTCGATATTGCATATAATGGAAAAATCGAAGATGATAATATGTCGATACAAACATATCTCAAAATAGAATATCACGATTTCGATTGTATTATGGATTTTCGAAATGTTTCTTTTATTTTAGCCATTATCAGATCTCCAAATTTAAAACACTTCAATATTTCTCATAATAATATTTGTGATGGGTTGTTGAGGCACTAGCTCACACATGCCACGAATTAGAGTACCTTGATCTAGAAGGGCGCGGATTCATTACCGTAATGTTATTTGCTCTTGTCCTAGACTTCAACATCTTGAACTTGGATTTTGTGAAAATCATCGAAGAAATAATTTGTTCGTGCCTAATTCAAAATATTCTGATTTAGATGGTTGTGAAAATATAGTAAACGACTTGATCCAAGTATGCATGTCCAAAATTAAGACTCATCATATGACGATCCGATTCTAGATCGCCCGACACTTCTGATTCTAACTCCGATAATAATGATTATGAACAGAATTTAGAAGAGCCACCTCCACATATTCTAATTTTTACCGGTATTTTAGATGGTGGGGTCAGATGCGTAACATATATCCTTACTTCATAAGTGATCCCACAGCTCGCTTGGACGAAACTTTGGAATGTTCCAAAACGAATCTACTACTGCATTCAGTGATTATATCAGAGTATTATTAAATTCGAGGGTATCAGTGAAAATACAATAAAAAAAAATTAACCCGAAAATTAAAGTAAAATGCATCGATAGATTCTCTAGGATACTTGAAAGTATACTTAATAATATTCATATTAGTATTCACTCCCAGTTATAAGAGGGAAATATCAGATGATAATATTGATTTTATTTTTCTCATTCAATAATTGCATTTAGTAGCAGAGAATAAGTAACTATTTATTAGATAATTTCTCAGTTAAAAATATTACATATAATATAACTTATCATGAACATAGCAAAGGCTAAAGCAGGATCACAGAAAATCAATTGCCACCTAGAACCAGGTTTTCTTGGACCTTCCATGTGTGCTAATAAACTCCTCAAGAAAATCGGTGGTGAAATTAATAGAAAAATAACTCCTGAAGATAAAAATCGCAAATTCTTCGGAGAGATGACTACAAATCCACTTGGATTGGCTGTAATCCCACTTACTTTAAACAATCATCGCCTTAGTAATTATGAATCCATTACAATCCCAACTGAAGTACCTGTAGAAAAATGACCCCAAGACACCTAATTATATCCTACTTGGTAATAACTGGTTCTATGGACGCAAATACATCAATGACGAACTCCAGATTTATCTACCGAAAATAGTGACAGATGCTGGGAATGCTCGGGTAAGGGCAACTCTACGTGTTAAAAGTCTTAGCAAATCTGGGGTGACCAAAATAAAAAAGAAGTCAAGGGTTAGTGTATCTGTTAATAAAAGAGACATTCCCTATTATTACAAGTTACTTCCGGGGATCAAATTTTTCGGATAGTGATTTAAGTAATTCATCCACATTCAATTCGGAATCAGAAGATAAGCACATATATAAGATTGTGTCTGCTATACATCCTAAGCGATGTCGCAAAGAAAAGCTAAATATCAAGCTTGATTAATTAATGTGGATAACTAGACTTGATAATCGATTTACAGGAGGTTAGCTTACGCTATGCAGAAATTGAATCAAAGGATGATAAGTATAAGTATATACGTATATGCAAAATGGGTCGTAATAATCAGCGTAAAATAATGGGCAAATTCACGGATAACCCTAAATGATATTTACAACTGCTCAATACCGATAAATATGAGCATATGTGTGATCCCGGGAATGGATTTATTAGTGTTTGAAATACTCTGAAAGATAATATTGTTGTCATACTGTATTTGATTATGTTGAATTGCGAGAATATCCAAGTGTAAATCACATCACGTTACAATGAATTTTGAGTCAGCTTTTCTAAATACTTCTTGCACTTTTTCATCTTTTTCACACGTTCTTTGAGATTAACTATCTTAAGTAATTCGCGAATAGATAGTATGGCTTCTTTTCATCTAGTACTTGTCTAATAAGTTTGAATTGCAAAGGTTGATACATTTGTGCGCCCCATAATGCATACAAATTTTTGAAAAATAAGGTATTAACCAGTTGGTAACTTGTATTTTATTGCAGATTCTTTGTTTAGTTATAGTAACCATTGAAACATGCTATCTGATATGTGTTACAGTATCAAACTTTTTGGTGTGTATTAGGAAAAATGATTGTGCTGTAATTTAAATTATGCATAAAAATTTTTAATAAACCTGTGGTACACCCGGTTCCAAACTCTATTTTGAGAGATTAAAAAATTGTTTTCAGTAGTTTTAATATCAACCATAGTCAATTGAAACAAAAATGTTCCACCTTATTTGTCTAAATCAAATTACAAAACACAGTAACTTAAATTAAATTTGTTCCATTTTTGTATTTAACATTGTTCTCATTTAAAACAATATTACAAATATTTTTTATAAAACGCAAATTATTTCTCCACTTGTTTTTTAGGCTTGTAGAAATTTAATATAAATATTTCAAAAAAATCCTTTATTTTTAACTGTCGCCCTAAATTCTTGAACCTATATCCTAACAGTCAACACAATTATCATGCGCTTCTACTTTGTTCGAAAGTCAACATATCATAAGCTAAAACTTAATAAGCAGGCATTGGAAAACGACAAAAATAATTTGATAAATGAACGTGATAGATTGAAAGCAATGCTTGAAGAAGTAAAACTCAATCATAGAGATAAATATCAACAAAAAATCAATGAATTAGAAAAAAAAGTCTCTGATTTGAAAGCTCCACTTACTGCAATATACAAACTTGCAAAAGTTTCAGAAACTTTTGATAACGATTATGGCGCCGGCGCCAGTTCTGAATTTTTATTCCAATGACAAACAAGAGAAGAGCCGTTATCTAAAAGATTGACAGGAAAAAAATATATGGAAACCCTTCATTCGTACACAAGAACACTTGAATATTTTGTTTTTCTTGTATTAATTATAGGAAACCGGGGGAAGTGATATCAGTTTTTTTCGTATATAAAAAGATCAATATATTGATTAGTGTTGTCCCCTATGAAATAAATGAGTAATTCCCCAGAGCGTCTCACTCATTAAATAATACGTGACCTTGCGTTATTTAACATTATTTTTCTTCCCACGCTTTCCATGCTTTTTTCTCTTCCCTCACTTCTCTTTTTCTTCCCTAAATTTTCATGTTATTCAACTCATTCTTCTTTTTACATTATTAAATTGAAATTTTAATCAAATATTATTTAAATAGAATTTTAAATAAAGCGCATTTTTAAGTATTGGCAAGTTATTAAAATACATTTTAAAAGTTCTTATAAAATTAGTGATTTCCCAGCTGTCTATTGTCTCGAGAAAAAGGGGATCACGTGCGTTACGTTACGTAATTAGTGTTGTGAGAAATTAATGTGGGATAATTTAGAGGTGGCAATTTCTAGAATAGTGTAGAACAACGATCAGTTGTAAACATGTAAACAATAGGTGATGTATAAATGCATGTGCAATTTAGTAGCATGTAGAGAAGTTTAGTTTAGAGTTTAGTAATGCCTTAAGTAAAGTAGCGTTTAAAGATAAACTCTTACCTTGTGTTTAGTGTGCCAAAGTAAACTTGTAACTTGGGCTACGCGACTACAAGAGATAACCGAGGGTTGCCTAAGGAAATTGGCATTGGAAGGCTTCTAGGTTAGTCGGTAGAGAAGTTAAAGTGAAAGAACGGCCAAATCGGAGACACACCTCAAGAATTAGAAACTACCTTATTGTTAACCGAACGAGACGACAAGTAGTGTGGGCTTGCCGGATAGCCCACGACACTATACATGTATATGACCGGCAAACAAATCGAGTGGGATAGAGTGACTTATCTACTGATAGAAAGATATAGAATCCACTCTAAAAGTTCCAATAAATTTACAATACTAATGCGACATACAGTATGCGCTAATGTACAGTATATCTTAAAACAAGAAATAAAATTACACGATTACCGATCTAGACTATGTGTTGAGATAATTCAAATGACCTGGTCCTTTTGGGGTCTCACCACCCCGAACTGCTAATCACTTTCTTGTTCTTAACCTTTGTCAGATGTAATTTCCTTCATTGCTTATAAGGAACGGCCTTTCTTACTCTTACCTCATATGTCTTAGCTGAATCGGATACTTCGGGTGTCTCGTAAGAATAGGAGGGACCCTTACCTTTTTCATTAATCAGTGAGGGAATTATTTCATGTATTAAGTCAACTACAGTCTCCTTATCTACATATTTGTCCAAATCTTCCAATTCGGTCTCTAGGGACCTTATATCTCATCCGTTATACTGGGAATGGTAGTCACCCAGCCTTTTTTCTAGTGTTCTATTTCCCAAGAAAGCGAACCATTAACATTTGCATTTTGCTTGTCTAGTCTAAATGTCTAGGCTAATTTCTGATAACTTCCCGCTCGTTAAATGCATGATCCGACAAATGATTTTGATCGGTTACCATTTTTTCCATGCAATATCTTAGGAGGACGAAAAATAAAATCCTTGATAATTTACTACGTTCATGATTTATTCCTGCATATGAATTATAGAGAACAAATTAAAAGCTAGACACCTGAAAGATCTTTGATCGAGGGGTATCCCGGTCCTGAAGGAACCCTCTAACATATCGATGTCATTAGTCTTCATCAAAGAATATGAATGGCCTTGCCTTATAATATGGCTCTCCTTCCTTTCTTAGGTGGACTACAGTATAGTTTTTCCCAGGAAAGGCATAATTATTTGGCGAATGTCTTAATGCTTTACTGACAATATCCGTAGCATTCGATATACTCTTTCCTCCGTGTGATACGACTGCAAATGAGCATTCTAATTTGCATAAGAACAGAGAGAATAGTGGTATATCTTACTTTTTTTTTAGAAATCTATTAAACTATTTAGTTCTGGGTTTAGCTGAATTTCTTAACTTCCCAGAAAAAAAAATGAATCCTGTATCCATTTAAGCAGTTAACTAGCTCGTTCCTCATCTTTTCCCCATTAATTTAAACACCTGAGGGATATCTCCCGGGCCTCTATTTTTTTACACAGCTAGTTACTTTAATATTAACCATGCGTAAGGTTCCAAGTTCAACCGGAATTGAACTTGGTATATTGTGATGTGAATTGAATTTATACTTTCAACAATATGCTAAATTTTATAAAGCATTTTAGTGTCTTACAAAATCTGTCTATAATTGCAAGTTTACAACAATTATATGGACCGATAACTCAAATTATGAAATGTACCTTCATTAATCTAGTAATTTTGTCTATAAATTCTCGTCTTCCATCACATTGAAAAAGGATAGGATCTATTAGAGTATTACCGAGTTTTTTAAAAATAATTCGGCAATCTCTAAACTATTTTTGGATATAAGGGTTAGTACAGTATATTTAAAATGTGTTATAATATTTATACAGTAGCCACCTATTTACAGTATATGTTTGTTTTTATTATTACTTTACTTATAAGCTATAGAAAATTATATATACCTATACAGTTTAATGTGAAATGTTATTATACTGTAACTATTACACGGAATATATTTTTAAGATGAAACATTTTTGCTATTTATTCTAGTTATGCAACCATTTACAAAACATTTTATATTGTCATTGGGAATTATTCTCAAAATCAAAAGTTAAACAAGATAAACCCGTTTCTACATATTTTAGATATTTATCCTGATAAATATGGATAAAAATCTTGACTTTAATAGAAATTAAATATCAAAGAGTTGCATCTTATAATCTGGTGGTTTGAGTTACTATTGAAAAAGAAAGCATTAACCTAGATAGATACATTTTACCTGTACCCTGTAGATAGATTGTTATGATATAGATAATACACCCACATATCAATAACACATTTTAGACATATAACTTTCTTTTCCAAAATCCATTAACTATAAATGATTTTAGGAAATGATGAACATTGACTTTAACACAATTACATAATATTATTACATCAAAACAATCCTTACTATTCAAACTCCTATATTTTTCATACTCTTTTATATAAATTTAAAGTTTCTTGTTAGTTTATTTAATCCTATTTCATTAAACTTTATTTAGGAACTAATGTCTTAAACAAAATAGGCATAGAAAGTTTTCTTTTTTTTTCTGTCTCAGAATTTTTTTAGAAATACATACAGTGTGTAACAAAACTTTTTGGAATTTTATTTATGTGACATAAATGTAAATAACTTTTTCAAAACAAATGCAATTCATGTGAAATTTTAAACATGTAAACAACATATCTTAACAAATATATATATACCATTAAATTTCTCAACTTG